TGGGGCAAAGGGAGGTGGTGTGTTGGAATCAGTAAGACTGGCTCAGGACAGGGCAGGGTTCAGAGCTGCTATACATAGGGTCACTATGAGTCGCAGGGGACTTGATGGCATATAACAATAACAACAACAAGCCTCATGGTAATAATCTGTGTTGTAACCCTGAAGGCAAATGTTTCAAATCCACCAGCTGTTCCACAGGAGAAGGCTAGGCAATCTCCTCTCATGTGATTAACTTCCTCTGAAAACTCGTTGGAGGGTCAGCTATGGGTCAGTTCTGACTTGATGGTACCCAACAACAACAATATTCACTGTAAGAGTTTTCATTTTCCTGATGGCTCAGGAAAGGACAGGGCTCAGATCTGTTTTCATAGGGTCACTATGAGTTGTACTTGACAGGAGGCTCATGTGAAGCGGTTGGATTCTGGAAGATGGTTTCTTGTGTCTCGATGAGGGTCAAGTATGGAATGTTAGTTTGGTTTTTTTCATCCACAGTCAGGCGTCAGCTGATTAGATATGTCAGATTTAGCTAACAATGAGCTATGCATTGAAGCCTCTTGATTTACAGTCAACCAGAACCTGGTGGGCCTGCCTTTTATTTAAAAGGAGGGAGGACTTCGTGTTAATTGATTTGGGGATGAACATTCTTCTAAATAGTACAGTATTGGTCTGCCTATTTGCTGTACTGAAGTAACTTGGGGATGCTATAATGCTGAACGCTTTGCCTTAGGTGTGTCAATTGCCGTGATGGTTACCCATCATGGGCAGTGTTTGTGGAGCTCCCAGATTGATTCACGTTCGGAAACTGGAGTGGTATTCCACTTCCTAAACCACATGCCTCTGGAAACTCTATGAACATAGAAAAATTATAATTATAGAACAGGGTTCAGGTCTTTTGTTCCTAGGGTCGCTTTGAGTTGTATTCACTTAAAAACAACCATGGCTAGTGAGGACTCTGATGCCGAGGTAAATGTTGAGTCGCTAACCAAAAGTTTGATAGTTTGAATCCATCAATTGCTACATGAGAGAAAGATGAGATGATCTGCTCCCATTGATATCACAGCCTCAGGGACCCAATGGAGGGTCTTCTTGAGTTGGAATTGACTTGGTGGCAGTAAGTATGGTTTTTGTCTTTAATAGCTGATGATGTTGAGTATCATTTCATGTGTTTAGCGCCATCTGCATAGCTATTGTAAAGAAAATATTTTACTCATTTTTAATGTTAGTTTCCTCATATTTGAATTTATGTCCTTATTTACTTATCTATCTGTTTGTTTATTTTCTGGCTACAAGTCCTTTGTCAGATGTGTGATATGTGAAATTTTGTCAGTCAAGATCCACCTGGCATTGGCAATGATATCCCTAGTACCATGGCCTCTTATAAATCCAGCCTGCACTTGCGGTAGTTCTCTGTTGATGAACTTGTTCCAGGCATTTTTGGATAATCTTCAGCAGGATCTTGCTTGCATGTGGTTAATAATATTGCCTGATAACTTTCCACACTGTCTCTAAGACCTCTAGCATCTTACATACCCTTTCCATTCTCTCATTCACAGTCCTATCAAGTCAGAAATTACTCCGAGCTGACTCTGTAGTGAGTTGTTAGAGGTTATAAATCATACAGGAAGAGATTGTCCATCCTTCTCCCAGGGAGCAGCTGGCAGATTTGAACCAACTGCCTTTAAGTTGGCAGCACAACTCCTTACCCACTGGGCCACCAGAGCTCCCTCTTTTTATAGTTGTTGTTGTTGTTGTTATGTGCCATCGAGTCATTTGCGATTCATAGTGATCCTATGTACAACAGCCCTAAACCGTGTTCTATCCTGTGCCAATCGCATTGCCTCTGACACACCCATCCCGATT